CTGGGCTTCCGCAGCTTCTTCTTCTTGAAGTAGGCGTCTGTGAGATGCTTGGGGATCTTCACACCACTGATGTCAACTTTGGTGGAGGTGGCGATGACAAATTTCTGGTGTGTTCTGCGCAGAGGCACTCGATTGAGGGAGAGAGGTCCTGAAAGGGAAACACACTTCAGAACCGACTTGGAGGCACTATGGTTCCTCTAGGAGACCCAGAAGCGCGGCTCTGTAGAAATTCCAGTGTTCTCTCGAGAGCCAACACCAAGGCATTTCCCCAAGAGCTGTTTCTTATGCGAGGTCCTCCCCCATCTCAAATCATTCAGGTCATTCCACCTGGCAAAGAGCAATCCCTCCCTTGTTTAACTGGTGCGTCAAGACTGTCAATAGCTTCTGATGGCATTTAGGCACAGGATTCTGCTGCCAGGACATGTTATTGGGACCATTCTGCATTTCATGGGGAAAGCATGTGGCAACACGCTGAATTTAAACACCAGTCACCACTTAACCCATAAGTGCCCAGGGCTACTGTGAAACGAGGATCAGGACCCTCCAGCAGCGGGAACCTCGGTGCAGACAATTAAGGCGAAGGGAATACAAAATCGGTACTTACCAGTCACAAGCAGCAAGCCACTGCCCAGCTGCTTCAAGAAGACCACTCTCTGTAAGCAAAGGAGGAAACATGAGATGCTTCTGCGATCAGCAGCAGCTGTTTCTTAAACCCACTAAACCACCCATGGATGTACTTAGTGAGGAACTATCTACTTGGGCACAGGCATCCAGACATCCACCAGGCCACACCACCCACAGGGCCAAGATCCACGGTGCCAGCATTTGAGTTTTGAGACAATGAGCACCATTGCTTTAAGGGATAAAAGAATACCCGTTAAACTCAATTCCATCAGCACCTTATATCCAGCGGGAGGAAAACTAAAGGACATCCCATCACCTGTGTACTGTGGGCCAAACATGACTTTGCATTAACGGGATGCTATGAATACAACCAAAATGGCTCGCTACCAAGTGACTATGGTGTTACTGGACCACCTACCATCACGCAAACCAAACCAGAAACTCACCTGCAGAAGGGACTGCCAGAATCTCTCCAGACACTCCCCCACCCCATTGAGGCGGCGCCCTGCTCACCTTGCCTCGGTGGCGCCCTGTGAGGATGATCAGCACGGTCCCTGGGGTGATGCTGGCGCGCAGTCTCCTGACATGCTGGCTGAAGGGCTTCTTGCCGTGGCTCAGCAGCTTCCGCGGCACGTCTTCCGTAGGGTAATACCTAGGCTGTGGGGAAAACCCGTTCCCTCAGAGAAACTCTCCCCTCAAGGAGGGCTCATCTGGTGACAGCACACTTGTAGGAAACGCAAACACTCTGCCCGAGACCACACTGCATTATCAACAACTGTGCTTCTGAACACACGGCACAGTTGTACAATCTACTGGGGAGGCTCAGCTCAATCCTGGTTTCCAACTGAAATGTCACTAAAGACGAAGTAAATTCACCACCACCATCCTCGTCACCGAGCAGATTCCAACTCCAGAGGCTGCATCTCTGTGGGCGCAGACAGCCTCATTCTCCCACGGAGTGACTGGTGGGTTCGAGCCACTGATCTCCTTGTAGTTAACATCTCAGGTAGTTGTGAACACGACAGACAACCACATCATTTCATACCTCTTGTACCGTGAACGCTCCACCTCAGGACAGTTAAGCCCTGGAAACCCCACTGTCAACAGGAGAGCTTCCCAGACCTCCAGAGACAGGGCAGATCCCTCAACCACCCCAACATGTCCTTGGCGACTGTTAGTGACAGAAGGCTCTCTGCCCTCAGGTGAGAAGCCCAAGTACCACATAAAGCTGAGGGGTGCATGTTGCCTGCTGGACCCTCTAGCCCAAACAATCAACACCATACCCCTCCACCAAAGTGGTTCCAGGAGAGGTAATAAAATGTCTGACCAAGTACCACGGGCTATAACTCTAAAGTTGATCAATGACGTTATAAATAACCAAGTGGAGCATGGCAGAAAAAAGGCATGCTCTAAACGCCATTATGGCCGGGCTTGTTTCTGGTCCCTGCAACCCACCGGAAGTAAGGAGGGCTACTATGGGGTCCCATTGACCTCAGGAACCTGAGCACCCACCCCAGGACTTCACTGTGGCAGCCCAGCCACTCCTTGACAAGAGGACCCGAGGCCAGCCTCTGGGACCAGTCCAGCCCGTTCCCTCTCCACTGTCAAGGAAGAAACAAACTCCTTGTGACATGGGCATCAGTTCTGCCTGCAGTGAGCAGGCTGCTCAAGGAGCCTGGCACGTGTACTACAAGATGTACACTCTGTTAAGCAACATGCCTGACAACGACATCATAAAGCAAGTGACTCATTATCATTTTAGTGAACCACCTTGTATTTACTGCAAACACGAAAACCAGCTCCCAAAAACCGTGACAAGGGAGCCAAAGTAACTCCAAACCTCACATCCCTGGGAAGTTTTCCTAATCAACACAAAAACAAGTCTCCAGCCCATTCTTCCAGAGTCTAGGTGGGTTCCCCGCACCTGCCTTTTTTCATTCAACCACCCCGTGGGGTCAAGCCAGGCTGCAAAGCCCGAACGAACCTGCCATCTCAGAGAACTCTCTGAAAACTCCGTACACCCCACAATTTATATAAGTATTTAAGCTTCAAGCAAAACACACGCAACCCAACCGTGTTGTGTTGTTCCCCCTCCCGTCTTACCATTTTGCGCAGCTTCACCACTCGGGTCCCGCCGTTCTTGTCACCACCGACTGGCTTTGTGACAGTAGCATGGACCTTCTCCTTCTTCTTCTCAACCTACAAGGTGCCCCAGGCATCAAAGTCAGGCGGCGGGGCCACGGGAGGAACCAACCACCACGGTCAGGGGATCCCCACCTTATTCCTTACCCTGGACTTGGCCGCCGAGTACTTCCTCTTGTACATGGCCTTGCGGGAATACATGGCAGAGCGGGAATACCGGCCGATTCCTCGGACTAGGACTGGGTTTCGGCTGCAGTGGGGCTTCCCCTTCTTGGGCTTTTGCCCCTTAGCCTTAACTTGGCCACTGGCATCTGCTTTCTTGACTTCGGGCTTCTTCTCCTTGGTGTCTGGCTTCTTCTCAGCCTTCTCACCCGCCATCTACCAACGAGGGAGCAGGCCATGCTTCAAAACTGCACATGGGAGGGGTCCCCAAGCAAGAGCTCATCCTCCCCCACCTCCAGAGAACCAACAGCCACTCCATTCCCCAATTTCCAAAACCCGACCCCAGCCACCACTCCTGTCCTGCCTTCCAGTCGTCTCCCCAGCACACCATCAACTCGACGACCGGAGAGAGCGTGCCCTCCTCAGCGATTCAGTGGTCAAGCGCCTTTCGTCTAAACCACTAGGATTCCTGCCGTGCGGGTTAGGAAACTAAGCAAATCAGGTTAACCACGCGCCTCAACCTCTGGCAGGAAAGCAGGGGCCGCCTGGAGGATCAAGGTGTCTGCTTTTAGGCTCTTTGCACCTTTTACGACTACTATTTACAAGGCAAGGACACACAATTCGCTCTAAACAGGCCACACACACACACGAAAAAAGCACGAAGCTCAAGATGCGACTTCCGGCAGCCGACACGGGTACACGAGAAGCCGGCATTTTGGCTTCGGTCCCAAACCCCAAACGTGGCTTGAGACGAGCGCAGCGACCACTTCGGGAAGCCTCGCCCTGGATTCTGGAACGCACACAGCTGGCCCGATGCCTCCGGCACCCCCAGCCCGCTGGGAACCCTCGCGCCCCTGCTCGGGAGGCTGGCGGGTTTCCGCAGCTTCCACCGCGCCCGCCCGCAGTGACTTCGTCCCCCGCCACAAACCCAAGGGGAAGAAATGAAGCGTCTAGGAGGCCTCCTGCTTCGCCCTGAGCATTACCGACCCTTCTAAGTGGCAACTTGATGCCCTCCCAGTTCGGATGGCGAAGGATTAAAGTCCGGTGATCAACTCTTGCTAAGAAGAACGGCCATTCTTACCTTGCAAGATGGGAAAGAGAATTAAGGTCGCAGCTTCCGGTCTATAAGGCATCACGGGAAGGTGTCAGTTGCACTTCCTTCCGGATCTGAAGAACCTTGGGAAATGTAGTTTTTTTTTCTTTGAAGGGTTCGGGGTGGGGAAGCATTTTTTGTCTTCATTTTATGTTCTAACATGCCCATGAGCCTTCCAAAAAAAAAAAAAAGGTAATAGAGATTTTCACCTAATCAAACGAAAGCTCATTGCCATCGACTTGATTCTGACTGATAGAATCCTATAACCTTCAAAGTCATTTTTTACTTACCAAACCAGAACACCAACCCCATGCCAATAAGTCAGTGCCTACTCATAGCGACCCTATAAGGATAGGGTAGAACTG